TTCTTATTGAAATCAGACAGAGGATTGTATGCTAGTAGCCTAGTACTTTAGAGACCATAGGACGTACTTTAGAGACCATAGGGCGTACTTTAGAGGAGCTTGGTGATACTTTACACGATGCTAGTATGAGAACTGTCGAGGAAAGCCACTGTAGTGGAGACAACTTCAAGGATGAGGACGAGTATGAAAAAGTAAAGTTTAAGATTAGAATCATGTTGAAAAGTTGTACATATCCATTGTAAATATTAATTTGATTTTATACATTTACTATTGTATTTCAAGGAGTGAGGGGCCGCTGTACCAGTCTCTCAGCAGGTGCAACTCCCCATTGGAATCTCCCAGCAGGTGCAACTCCCCATTGGAGTCTCCGAGCAGGTGCAACTATCATTGGAGGCCCCTGTACGACAAGTAGGAGCGCGTGTTCTTTGCGTGCTCTTATCATCACTTCTATTTGTTTTGGAGGTCGACTTTAATTAAGAAAAATAAAAAGAGCTCAAATTTTTCTTTTTATATGAGTTTTTTTTTTTTTTTTTTTGGACAAATGCTCCAGTCTATTCGGTGGGTAGCAGCACGAGCTGGGAACCGGGCCCATATAGAGTTGCACAAGTCATTTGAGATGTCGGGGCCATTCTTTCATGTTAAAATCCAACAATTTTGTCTACACGTGAGAAAAACTTTGTCGGATACTTTTGATGCATATGTCTCATTTGTTTCAGAGTGATTTTCTGCTGCTTTGACATTGGTCCATGAATATGCTTTCAATGGGCGTCTTGCTCCATGATACTTCGCTGAAATTTAGCTCCATTTGAGTTCATTAATCGCAGACGGTGTTGGCGGCTCCAAAATTTTGTTTATGGCTAATATTTAATAATAAAAAAAACTCTAATTTGCTTAGGAATAGGTAGCTAATATGGAGTAGTGATATATTCCATGTTTCTGTACTCCTCTGGATATTGGCAAAATTTACTTTTTGTCTAAGTAGCAAATCCGGATATCCGGACGCCGTTGAATTATCCGGATTTGCAGGCCGGATAATACTGTCCGGATGAAACCGGATTAAGCATATCCGGAGGGTCAAAAACATGGTATTTTACTATTTTTCCAAAAAAACAAAACATCTCAAAAAAATCTGAAAAACAAGTATATTGTATATTATAGCAATACCAACAACTTCTGGTCGAAGGTCATTTCAAAATTCTTATCCGATCAAGAGATAAAAAATAAAAACAAAAATATATCATTTGATTTTTAATTTTTTATTATCTGGACTTTATCCGGAAATCCTGGATAAACCTTTTTACCCCCGAATGTTTCTGAATCTTGCATGCCAAAGTCCAGTTTTCTCCAGTGGTCCACTTTTCATGAATTCCTTGTTTATAGTCAATTTCATTCTAGTATGTCACACATGATTCTTCTTTGAGAAAACTAGGGCGCAGTCAGGGTTTGATTTTGAAAATGCAGTTGATGTCCTCTGGGAGAGCGCAGAAAACCGAAAAAAAAAAAAAACCTTTTTTTTTTTTTTGGCACGACCGGGTACCCTGGGCGTCAGACCCCCCCGGGTGTCATGCCCGGGTGCCTAACCGGGCAGGACTGGCCGGGCGTGAGAATCTTCCTAGGAGGAAACAAATTTTATTATTATTTATTTTTGGGTTGGTACTTCTTTGGCTTTTTGGATTTGCTGTGTTTTTTTTTTTTGGCTGTTGTTTGTGTCAGATGAAAAATGTAAGTGTGCAAAAAAAAAAGAAAAAAAAGGCCCGTTTCACCAGGGCCTGTGCTGGGTTTCGGTGGCGCCGTGGCGGCAGTGGTGGGGGTGATAGCACAGTTTGGGATGCGCAAACCAGCCCGCGTCCCACAGTTCACCCTCTGCACACTATTGCCCCCACCCTTCTCTACGCAATCCCAAGACGCCCGAACCCAAAACAACAACCCCCCCCGATCCCCACAC